CACAGTAATATTCTGCTAGAAGTGATAAGATTGTTGTCTTTGCAATGCACAATTAAATCCTTGCTCCAATAGTAGCAGATAATCCAATCAGCCGAAATCTGAATGCCTAAGGCCCAGTGAGAAAGCAAAAACTAGGGCCTTCAGCAGCCTTCCTGCCCAGGCGGCACTGGGTGGCTGCTGCTGCGCCGCTGAGTAAGCTGTGGTATGAGGCCAACGATTCTTAAAGTAAAGAAATCAACCTCAGTGCTAAATGGCTAAAAGAGGTTGAATAGCTCTGAAACAGGCCTACGGGTCCTGTATCCTCGAGCAGATTTACTCTCATAGCAATGATATGGAGAACAAAATGGTGGTCGGCCACAAGAAGGCTCCCAAAATGGCGGCCACCAATAATGCGAGGGATCCTCGGGTGTCTCAGCGGCGGATTTCCCTCCCAAAAGGCAAGCCGAAGCTTTAAATGATGAGAGGGGTAGGGAAGGGAAGGATTAGCCCTTCCACGCTAGAGCAGCGCTCGGCGGAGGGGGTGGAATTAACGAAATGACTCAGGCGAAAGTAATTCAAGCCGCTAACTAACGAAACGGAATGAAGCGGCACAGAAGAAAAGGCAGGGTAAGGATATTTTGACTATGGGAGGTGGTGCGAAGGCACTACTGGCCCTCCCCTTTGCCTCCCTCTGGGGGCCCAAATGTGCTTCCCCTGGGTGGATGGAAGTTCCAGTTAAACAGATGCGCAGGCCTAAAAAAGAAGAAGAAATACAACCTGATAAACGAACGAAATTGTGACTGTGATTAGAGAAAATCCTGATTCGGCCAAGGAGCTAGTCAATGCACTGCCTGTCTCGCACGAGGCTGAGCAAAAACTGGGGAACGCTGTGGAGGAGTCACGTGGAGGAGGAGGAGCATTCCTCAATTCAAGCTCAGCCTATGAATGCAGAGACTGAAGCACCTCCCACTACTGGATGCTCTGAGCAGCTCTGAGGAAAAGTTCCAGTTCCAATTGTGGTCGTAATTCTAGGACTACTTGTACGGATTATTAATGTATCTGTAGCAGAATCTGTAAAAAGTGCCATTTTATAAATCCGGGACCCATCTTCATGCAAAAAAAATTTTTCCTTCACAGGTTGCCAAAAAAATCAGTGTTCGTTTTTCTGCAATACTCTATTTAGTTTGTTATTTTGAAGAATGTATACTTTATTTTTTATTTCAAATGTTCTGCACTTTTATCGTTCATTTTCTTTGTGTATTATATACCTCTAAGCAACTTTGAATATTATTTTGAAGGCAGAAAATTGATAAATGTTGAAAAGATGGTGGGAATAACAAGACAGACAAGCTTAGAACAAAGAGTTGGATGGCAAAATCCAACAGGGGATAAGCAACACACTTCCCCCTGTACACTCCAGTCTGCTTTCCTCCAATTCAAAGCCTAGTCCACTCAGAGGTCTCAGGACTATGTGGTACTTTACATCCCAAGTAAAAATAATGCTTACAGTAATGTAACACCTGTAGGCAACCACGTAAGACAGCTGCACTTCTTCTCAAGGTCACTAAGTTGCCTTCCACAGCTATAGCATGATCTTCAGAACATACATGTATATGTTTGACAGTCCTTTGCTATAAAAATATATTCTATATTGCTTAAATATCACTTGGAAACATGGAATTAAAAAATAGTGATATTTGCAAAATATTTATTTATATATGACAAAACTAATGCCAACAAAAACCACTATGAAGTCATAGCAAACAAAATAATAAGAAATAAATGCACCAAGATATAAAAGGAATAAAACTGAGAAAGTTTTCAACATAAGGCAAAGCCTAGGAAGAAGATAATGAAGACTTGCATATACTTATGGCATTTTGCACAAATCCTCATATATTGTTTTAAAATTAGAATGTTTCAAAAGAATCAAGTTTCCTTCCTTCACTGGCATAACACTTTCTACTCATCGATTTGTGTTTTATTTCTCATAGGAAGTAACTCTTTGATAAACGTTTATATGGAAGACAATCTGTGTAAAATCCATTTTTAGTAATAAATCTCTGCAATAATGACAAACGATCAGCAAATACTTTATATACTAAATGTTAAACTTCTTGTAATTCTCTAGAAATTTTGGTTGATTTCTCCTTACCAGTTGCTGAATTCATTATATTCTGCTGCACTGGAGGGCTTGTAGGAGCTGGGACATTCATTTGGGAAAGGAGAGTCTTCCTTGGATCCTGCCATGTTGTTGTCTGATCAATGTGACTAAAGCAAAATAGAGCAACGTGTTAAATACCCCATAAATGAAACAATATGAACATTTATGAGCAGTTAAAAAATAAGCAATGAATACAGTCCTGAAAAAAATCTGCTTCAAATCATTGCAGCCACAGGCAGAATTAATGCAGAGTGTCCAAGAGTTTTTGCTGATGTGTTATGAAAAACAAGTCACAGAATTTAGAAATTGCTTTTGAAATTCAGAAATACTTGTGAGGTCTGAATTTCAAGTCAAACGGAATCCTGCTGGAACATATACAAATTCATAGTAGGGACATTTAGGGTAGCATTTAGAATATTTGACAGATTGTCAAATTTGGTTTCAATCTTGAAGATGACCAACTGGTATTTCCTGACTTGTTTGTGCTCCTAGAACAATGTTAATTTCAATAAAAGGGCTTTTTCATTACACAAAATTAAACCAGAGAGGACGCATTGAACTATTTAAATATTTAGATAGGTATCTAAAATAAATGTATCTTATAATTATAAAGGACAGATTTAAGTAATAATTATATTAAATATAAATATATATTAAGTCAAATATTTCACTTGTGTTCAACTTCTTTACATTATGTAAGGCATTTATGTTTTCATGACAAACTTTTATGCATTTGTCTGTTAATGCCCACAACATTCAGAATTAGACATAATAGATATAGCAAAAATTGTAATGCTATCAATATCATGAAGAATATTAATTAAAACAAGGGCAAAATTAATGTTCACTTGAAGTTTTCTTTCTTTTTTTTAATGTAGTGGCACTATAGCACCAAATGTATTAGCAAAATATTAAGATAACAAATGCATAGTTGCTTTTTTTAAAAAAACTGTGGAATATTATACTGTCTGTTACTAGCTGCTTTATTTTGAATTCCTCAAAATGGAAGAATTTAAGACATAGAAATAGAGTATAAATTTCTGAATAGCATTTTTACTATTCAGTACCTGCAGAACTACCTACTCCAAATATCATCTGTCTATCCGACAAAATCTGGAAGAATGGGCTTCCTCCACGACCCTTCCCTCAGGGAATGCCATCTAAAGGACCACTGAAGGCAGTCTTCTCAACTGCTGCTGTTCTGTAGTTATTAGAAAGCTCATTAAAACACGTTTATCAAGTAATGGGGACAAGCATTGTGGTGTTTATTCCATCTGGTAGTGGAAAGTCTCTGATTTTTGTCATATTAATTACAGATACCCTGTTTCTCCAACAATACGGCCTCCCCCAATAGGAAGTCCCAGCATGTTTTATGGGCATTAAATGAAATTAAGCCCCTCCCCCCCAAATTAAGGCCTATATTAAAACATGCGAAATGGGGGGGAATGGTGGTGGGGGGCTTGCCATTAGGAAGTACTTTTGTTGCACACCTAGATATGGTACTGCCTGCGTTGACCCCGATACGAAGTGCCCCACCAACACCGAGGTCAACATCCAAGCCATCGCCGCCCACCCACCCAAAGATGCAAGGGGGGAGGGGAATTAAGTCACCCCCGAAAAGACGGCCTAGCAATTTTTTCAGGGCTCAAAAAAAAATAAGACCCAGCCTTATTATATGAGAAACACGGTAGACCTCAACCTTCAATTGAAGGTTGAAAGTTAATAAGGTGCTAAAAGAACAGTAGTTATAACTGATCCTTGGAATTCTGGCCATCCCAGCAGTCCCACAGCCATGTGATTGGTAACCAATTTGCACTTATGATTAGTTGCAGCCCTACAATCATGTGATTGCCATTTGCAAAGTTCCCTGACGGCTTCCCCATTGACTTTCTGAAGTAGCTGCATGGAAGATTACAAGTTCCAGGAATAATTCTTTTCTCCCTGCATACCCTCCTCTAGCCCCTTTGTGCTCATGCCACATTGCCCACTCATGTATGCCCATGCCCCTCCCTCCCCTCTAATGCACCCTTTTGTGCTCTCTCTCGCTCTCTGTCACTCCCTCTTCCACAACCTTGACTCAACTTGCCTGCCAACTGGCATGGAGCTTGCCATTTCTTGCCCACTTCCCCACTGACTTTGGTTGTGGGAAGCTGGAAGGAAGGTGATCGTGGGATTTGGTTAAGAAAAATCAGGACTATAGGCATTGTTGTTACTATGTGATGCAGTCAAGCTTTATGACCTCATTGCTCAGTGGCAGAAATTCTGGTCCTAACTGCTGTGGCAAGTCAAGGATTACCTGTAATGTTATTTGTGGGACTATTTTTCTCCCTTTGTTTCTGCCATTACTATAAGATCAGAAGTTCTGGATCCCATCCATTAAGCAATGTCCTGTGACAGGACCTAAAAAGCACCTGATCAGAGCATTCCCCTTTAAAACACCCTATTCCCAAAATTTTTGAAGAAATCCAACTTTGCTCTCCTAAGCAAGTAAACAAAGATTTGCAGTGTTGGGTGTAGGCTGTGTAATACTACCGATTTAGTTTTATTGTATTGTTTTTAACCCAATTTACAGATTTTGGGATTTATGATGTTCAGGATTGTTTGGAATAGCATGCATGCCCACTAAAATGTTAAGAAAGCAGCCATCATTATTCTTTGAAGGTTAATTTCATGAGAAATTACATCATTAACATGAGTCTTAATGAAAATACCCACAACATACACCACCAATTCACAGACACACACTAGCTTTCTTCAAAATTGGTAATAGATACAGGGATGGGATATAAAGCAGCAGATTGATTCTGAATATTCTAAGTGATAGATACACATATCCATCCATCCATCCAATTTAGGCGCTCCCCATCTCACTAAGTTTATGCAAACACTAAAGTGCAGGATCCAAAAATTCCATCCATTTGTACTATTAAATAAAGGAAAAGCACAAGAAGACTTCAGTTAACAGAAGAAAGTATTTGTAGATGATTGCCCATTTTTCCACAGAGATGTGTTATTCAGTATTACTATTTTTTTAGCTGGGAAACCATTCACTGTTTACTTCTAGCAAAATCTCCCCATGTTTAATGTTGTGCAGTTTCCTTTACAATCCTGCAATCAGCCTAGGAGTCTCAGCTCATATATCACTGAAAAACACTTTCTGATCTCCTTTAGTTTGGCCTGCAATGTACTTTTCAATAATGTGTTGTATTTGGTCTCCATTCAAAAGGAAGTTATGAAAGTTCCATATAATTCTTCCAATCCCTTTTTAATAAAGATGCATTCAAATCCTAGCTAATTCTCCCTCTCCCTCTGAAATAAATTTATAGGAAAATGTAGCTTAGAAACTACCAACCCACAATATGCTTCAAATATTAATTTTAAAAATTAGACTAACAGATGAAGTTGACTGATTTTATTAAAACAAAAACATAGCAGCAACTTCTCACGGATCCTTTCAAGAGAAACCACAGCCTGATGTTTACAAAGAGCTGACTTTCAGTCCTTTAATATGGCCTGTTGTTCTAAGGCATATCTCTGACTCCTACTCAGCATGAATCTCGTATTACAGTTGCCCTGATTTTTTTCAGAACAGAAGAAATAAGCACTAGAAGGTAAGCAGCTGACTTGGAAGAAAATATACTTAACTTTACAAATGAAACAGTGCTGGACAGAAGCCCTTATTAATCCTACAGAAAAAAACAACCTATCATTACCAGCTCTGCCACTGTTTAAATAAATTCTTACTCTGTACTGTTGAAGAACAACAAGAATACTTACTGAAGAAGGAAAAGGTGGGCCTGCAAAGCTTCTAGGGAAGCCAGAAAAGAATATATACAAGTATTTTCCTCCAGATCTGTTCTACCTACCTGCAGATTATACTTGGAGGAGAGGGAGGGAGTAGGAAAGAGCATAACCTCTTTACATATCCAGATTGTGTTCTCTACATTTTCTCCTTTGGCTTGGAACAGAAGACTTGGAAAACATTAAGTCACAGAATAGCTCTTATGACAAAGCTTGCATTATTATATGTGTTATAAGAGATATGCCACCTGTTGCATTCCACCTGTGCTGTATTTCTTTTTCCTGTATATCAAAAATCCTTTCAACTCTTGATTTAATCTAATGAGCCCATGCTCCCTGATAGAAAAGACAAGTGACACATGTTAAATTCATGAAGAGAAGTATAAAATTGTTTTTGTCAACAGAATCCTGCTTAATTCCAGCTTTCCTTAATTTTCTCATCAGTAGTCAGTTCAAAGAATAGAGATGGCAGAGCTGGCATTAAAATGCTCAGTAGGCTGTTTGCCCAGATTTATGGGCTGCTTACCAAGCCTATATTCGTTGTGAAATTGTTATTTATAAAGTCACATGCTTGGACTTGTTCTCAAGCTCACCAAACCTACAAGTTTAATTTATTCTCTTCACAATGCTTTATTGTTGACCACTGTAATCTTGTTACAGTTCCTCATATAAAAATGTCTCATCTGGGTTACCCTCTTTAGACATTTGCTTTTGTCTATTTCCAGAATTGTCAATACAAAGTATAGACACAACAGATTACAATTACATTGCACAAATTAAAACCATGTTTATTAATTTCATATTATAATGGAAGTCAGTTTTCCACAAGAAATCTCACCAGTGGCTAATTCTACAAGCATATTATAGTAAAAAAAAAAAACACCACACACCTCAGGTTGAAAATCCTTCTTTATTTAATTCTGAAAGCAAGGATTTAATCACACCTTCAAAATTTACTATATAGAACAGTTACTTTTAATATAGCTTAGAAATTATTAACTTACTAGGATTATAAATCCTAGTAATTTTATCCATCAGGACAAAATAAACATACTTGATAACGTATTTCTAGCTTGTTCGGTATTAACAGTTTCATTTCTCCACAAAATATAATGATTAACAAATGGATAAGTTATTATTTCATTTAAATATAAATATGATGAACAATATCTGATAATTCTGGCAATAGTTCTATAGATTACAAAAATACAGAGCACATAAAGGGTTCCCTAAACCAAGCTCGGAAATCACCCAGGACCCCTCATTTCAACCCCAGACTACAAAAATGTATGTGTGTATGTACGTA